CATACACACACACACACTGCACCACTGATCTCACAGACACACTGCAACACTGATCTCACACACACACACCGCACCACTGATCTCACACACACACTGCACTGCTAATCTCACACACACACACACTGCACCACTGATCTCACACACACACACACACACACACACACACAGCACCACTGATCTCACAGACACACTGCACTGCTAATCTCACACACACACACACCGCACCACTGATCTCACAGACACACTGCACTGCTAATCTCACACACACACACACACACACTGCACCACTGATCTCACAGACACACTGCAACACTGATCTCATATACACACACTGCAACACTGATCACACACTTGTCACCACTGATCACACACTTGGCACCACTGATCATACACACACACACACTGCACCACTGATCTCACAGACACACTGCACCACTGATCTCATATACACACACTGCACCACTGATCTCACACTTGGCACCACTGATCACACACGCCGCTGCAGACACACCCTGCCACTGATCACGCAACAGGAATCACATGACATGAGGGATGCAGCAGAGGCCTTGTCCTATTAAATTTCACTCCCTCTGAGTGTCGTTCAGACCAGCTGTGCTTCATTTTGCAGCTTTTATCAATTAATAGGAGGCCATATTGGCTCAGTGCCACACTACTGGGCCTGAGATTTGAGCCTAGAAGGTGGCTTTCTGACAAAGCACCTCTCAATGACACCCAGCAAGATTGCCAATGGATGCTGTAAACAAAACTTTTGTGCCATGTCTAACACTTTCTTCTTCTGTCTCTCTCCCTTGTCTCCATCACCCCTCCACCCCTTCACCCCTCTCTGTGTCCCACATCTCTCCCATCTCCCACTCTCCGCTCTCTGTCCCAGCTGGAGGAGAGTGAGGCCAGATGTGCAGAGGCCCTGAGCCTCCAGAGGACTCTGGCTGCAGAGCTGGAGAACGCACAGCTGGAGCTGGAGAACATCTGTCGCCACAAGAGCCTGGTGAGGAGGCAGACAGGCAGGGAGGAAGAGAGGAGTGCCAGTGAAGGGGGGAGTGGTGGGCCTGTTCTTCCTTTATAAACCCTACAGGTGTGTCTGCCATTGCTGAGTCTGTTCCTAAAGGGGGCTCTGGGCACATCCCCACACTGCTCCTATAACTTTCCTGATCCATACAGAGACTGCATCAGACCAGGAATCAGCTCCAGGACCCACCGAGATTCCTCAGGAGTCTTACAGTAGGATCTCTGAGCCCCTCCTTACCCCAGTACTATCCTCCTCTCTCTCCTTCTCTGTCCATATCCCTTTCCCTCTCTAAACCCTGTCTCTTCCTCTCCCTCTGTCCTCCCTCTGTGTCTCCCTCTCTCCTCACTCTTTCTCCTTCCTCTGTCTCTCCTTCTCTCCTGCCTGTGTCTCAGGTGGAAAATCAGCTGGTCCAGCTACAGCACGAGAAGTCTGACCTGCTGAAGCGACTGGAGGAAGACCAGGATGACCTAAACGAGCTGATGAAGAAACACAAGACTCTCATAGCACAGGTAAGACACCTGAGACCCTGACACACACCTGGACCCATTCACGCAGGTAAGAGGCCTGAGCTCTCTGATGCACAGACAAGCCCAATTGCACACCTCCAATGTGAGTCTTACAGGTTCAGTGTGACAAACAGACACACACAAAGAGACACTACAGCTACAGACACACACTAAGAGACAGTCAGGTTTCCTCTCCCCTTCAGTCCTCCAGTGACATCGTTCAGATCCGGGACCTGCAGGCAGAGCTGGAAGAGGTCAAGAAGGAACGACAGAGCATGCAGGAAAAGGTGAGGTTGAAAGGCAGAGACATTGACTCTATGGAGGAGACTCAGACCGCACTGAGGCAGGAGACTCTAGTGAGGCTCTTCCCCCTGTCCCTACCCCAGCTGGAGCTCAGCGAGAGCCGGATTCAGCACCTAGAGAGATCCATGGTGGAGCGCAGCATTGTGAGCCGACAGGAGGCCCTGGTCACCGACCTGGAGAACAAGCTGGAGTTCCAGAGGGGCCAGATCAAGAGGTTTGAGGTCAGTCTGACCGGGAGTCATCGTGCGAGCCCGTCTCGGGGTCCTGGACTGTCTCTCAGCGTGTCTTCCTGTCCAGGCACTGGTGCTGCGGCTGAGGGACAGCGTGGTGAGGCTCGGGGAGGAGCTGGAGCAGGCCGCGGACTCGGAGGCGAGGGAGAAGGAGAGCTCGCGCTATTACCAGCAGAGACTCGCTGAGATGCGCGTGGAGCTGGAGGAGCTGGCGCAGAGAGAGCTGGAGAGCAGCCGTCGCCGGATCGAGCTGGTAGCACCATCGCAGAGGGGACACACAAAACTGCCACACCAGGGGGACAGAATATAATGTAACACTAAAGGAATAGGACTTCCTAGTCCTGTTTCAGTGGGGAGACACAATACACTGCAACACTGCACTGTTTAGTGTTAAACATTCTTTAACACTGCTGCAAAGTTATACTGTAACCCTGGCTTATCTTAAGATTTCATATTCCTTTAGAATCAAGCTTGAGCAAGTGAAGGCTATGTACTAACAATGAAAAGGAAAAATTTCAATTTGAATCAAGATCGATATGGTACTGAGTGTCAGTATGTTTCATGGTCCTACAACCACTATGTGTGATGCCAGTATTTAAGCATAAATTGAGTGTGTGCGACATCTGTCCTGAAGACTGGGGGTCACAGGTCTGCCTTTTCCCGCGTCCATCAGCATTTCAGTAATTTCTCCTGGGTGTCAGCAGTTCAGCAGGTGCTCTCTCGCTCTCTGACTGACTGCCTGTGGTGTGTAATTAGTGCAGCGTCAGGAACACCTGTCAACCCACACTTTCCTGACCAAGCAGCTCAGGGAGAGACAGAGAGAGACACACACAGAGAGGGGCAGAGAGAGAGGGGTGTAACAGAGAGGAGCAGAGAGAGAGAGGGGTGTAACAGAGAGGAGCAGAGAGAGAGAGGGGTGTAACAGAGTGGAGCAGAGAGAGAGAGGGGTGTAACAGAGTGGAGGAGAGGTAACAGAGAGAGAGAGAGAGATGGTGGAATAAAACATGTGAAGAAAATAGAGACAAAAAAGGAGAACCCACACCACTCTCCTCCTTTACTCTGTCGTGGGAAAGTCCAGGTTACCAGCTCCAGGGACTGGGGGCGAGATGGTTGTCATGGTGATGTGAACAGGCTCTATTGGTGTTTGTGTTAGTAGTGACCTTGGAGTAGACAACTGGGCATTAATCACACAGTGAAGGAGGCAGTGTGAGCTGGAGGTTAGAGCTGAGACAGAGGGAGGGAGGAAAGGGAAGGAGGCAGAACGGGCCACAGGTAATAAGAAGGACATTGAAGCTGCAGGTTTGAACTGGTGGTCTGTCTGTCCTCATGTCTATCTGCGCAGGAGATGCAGGTGGAGGAGCTGACTGCAGTCAGGCAGACATTACAAGCTGATCTGGAGACATCGATCAGGCGCATCGCAGATCTGCAGACAGCCCTGGAGGAGGAGTCCAGTGATGAGAGTGATTCTGAGAGGTCAGGGAGGGTTCAGAGCGGCCACGCAGCACACCTCTCACTCTACTACACTCCCACTCTCACACCCTCACTGACAAACTGACACGGCGCTACACTCTAACACACTGCTCATCCTCGTGTCTATCTGTCCTTCCCATGGGACTCAATTTCTCTCTCTCCATCCAGTGTGCACACCACGGTGGACTCCACTGGGAGGAAGAGAGATGTGTAAGACTCTGCATGGCGCTGTGGGGTGTGTGTGTCTTTCCTGAGCCGGCAGGGACAGCTGCAGCAGGGGCTGTGATGTGCTGCTTGCACAAGCACCTGCTGGAGAGGATCAGCCACAAGAACTCCCTCCGGCTCCATCCCAGGGCCAGATACCGGTCAAGGGCTCCCTACTCTTTGCCTGCAGTGAAAAGGGAAACCTTTTTCTGAGAGTGAGGAGGCTAATTGGCACAGAATCTGCTACAAGACAAGCAGATCTGCAAATACAACACCAGCCCCCAGGGGGATCCCTCACAGTATTCCACTGCAGCTGTGAGTTACAGCTGATACGTTTGTCTTTATGGCTTTTGCAGGCATCAATATAAGCTATATAAGGTCAGGCTGTTTGCTGCAGCAAACCTGCCTGTGACAAAGAACCCCAGGTAGCTTGCGTAGCAAAGGGCTGAGAGCAGGGAGAGCTGTTCATGCCCTGTAGTTGTGACCGGGGCACTGGCCTGCTGTAACTGTCCCAGCCGGGCTCCGCAATGTGCAGCGAGCTCTGGAGATAAAGCATTGATTATAGTGGAAATGCAGTGGAATTACAGTGAATACAGTGGAATTACAATATGGATCCCGGGAGTTTACAGTGTGAACACAGTAGAGTCACAGTGTGAATGTTGTGGTGCTGCAGTGAAGATTCACAAAGAATGCAGTTATGTGATTTTGCTGCTCTATTATTAAAACTTACTGTAGGGAAGCGAATGCGTTTTCACAGTTTCTATATGGTTGCACTCACTCTCCCACATTTTTTTATGCCTTACCACTGGTTTACTTTACTCTGCTTTACCCACTTACAGTAGAACACTATCCGCTTTCACGAAGGCATGCAATGACTGTATTATCAGTGCTTTCAGGGTTGTGCAATACAGTGACTCTCTCCTGCATTGCTGTGTGCAGTGCAGTGACGTCTTTGCTGAAGTTTTGTGTTCAGTGCAGTGATTGTGTGCCACATTATCATCAATGTGTTCCAGTGCAGTGCACCGACTGTGCTGTGTGCAGTGTTCTGTGCTGCACTGCTGTGTGCAGTTGTGAGTGTGCTGTAGTGCTGTGTGCAGTGTCTTGTCTGTGCTGCACTGCTGTGTGCAGTGTTGTGTCTGTGCTGCAGTGCTGTGTTGTGTCTGTGCTGCACTGCTGTGTGCAGTGTTGTGTCTGTGGTGCACTGCTGTGTGCAGTGTTGTGTCTGTGCTGCACTGCTGTGTGCAGTGTTGTGAGTGTGCTGTAGTGCTGTGTGCAGTGTCTTGTCTGTGCTGCAGTGCTGTGTGCAGTGTTGTGTTTGTGCTGTAGTGCTGTGTGCAGTGTTGTGAGTGTGCTGTAGTGCTGTGTGCAGTGTTGTGT